TACGATCGTTTCATAAATCGTTAAATCGGCCGAATGGTTCCAGTTTCTATCCTAAGTCCAATTCCTTTTCTTAGCGCAATTTCTCAAGCGGTGATCTTCTCTTTGCGGGCAGAAGTCGAACTGCTTCTAAAGAGATAAACACATGATACACTAAGAGCAGATGAAACTACAAAATTTCTATAGCCATGATAATCCATGATAATCTCAAGCGATGATCTGGCTCTTGTACAGGCAGTAGTCGGAATGGTTCTAAAGAGATAAACACATGATAGACTAAAAGCAGATGCAACTACAAAATTTCTACAGACATGATAATCCAGGCCTGTGCTATGTAGATATTTGTATATATTATACACTAAGAGTAGATGAACCTACAAAATCACTGCTACCATGATAATCCAGGCCTGTGTTATGTAGATACTCGGGGTAGATATCAATGTAACAAGCGAGCTGTGGTCCCAGAACCCTGGCTAAAGGCCGTCCGAGACCTAGGTCTGAAAGTTCTTCTCAAGGCCGAGGACTGGGGTCCTGACATCCCTCGGGAGGTGGAGTCCAGAGGACTGCACGGGGTGGATTTGGGGAACCCTGCCCAGCTGGACCAGGTATGGGGACTTTCTGACGAGATTCTAATATACCGCTGTGTGTAAAATTTTAAATAGAGATAAAAAAAAAGATTTAATAAATGTGTTTTACCAACTTTTACCTGTAATGCTGCACATAAAAGTCTATATCTTTAATGTTCTACAATATACAAACATCATATATACATAATATATATATATATATATATAAATATGTTATATATGTGCAAATTTTTATATTTTACTACGGGATCGAAGCCTGCGCGCATATTGAGCACTTTTTTCTAATTAAAAAAAAAAACAAACTTCAATAACCCCCGATTCTTGTTAAAGTCCGACCCCAATAGCGAGTGAAAATAACTAAACGGGGCTCATATGTAAGTTCAAAGTGTCGAATATGCTTTTCACATGCGTAGATATGTGCTGCACTTACAGTAAAAGCAGTCTCTATCTACCCACTATGATTATTATGGCCTGTACACACGCGTACTAGAGATAATGAAAAACATCTGAATATATAAAGAGATAGTGGGGACAGAGATATAACAAGAGAGATAACATGGGAACAGGTTAAAACAACGTTTAGTTGATGTCTGTTCCACTAGATGGCGTTCTGCCATCTAAAAAAACGCGAATGTTAGTTGTCAGGATATGTCTAATTTGTTTTTGATATCAACACCTAACCTTATTTATTATGTTTACATACATACAGAGAGATGACAGTTGAGATGTACGACAGGTGACAGATGTTGTTGTCAACAGGTCCTGTCTTCCAACATGACCGTCGGTGTCACACTCAGTCCGCAGGATTTCTTCCGCTTCGGAGAGGTGCTGCCCAGGACATCGTGAGTATACGTTGCTTCGTTTTTCTATCGAGGAAAAGACAGTAAGAATTTGTTCTATTTATCATTAATTAGCTCCAATTTTTATCAACAGATGGCTTGTTATGTCCTTGTAGTCAAATACTCTATCATACGAGCAAATATAAAATCTAGGGTGATGAATAGATACTTTCTATTTACCTGGGTGTTACCCGTATGTTGCTGTCACTATAATATTACCACGTGGAAAATTAGGAAAGACAAACTTCGGGATGACACAGCTCTCTCTCTCTATATATATATATTATATATATATATATATATGTTATGAATTAAATGTTTGTGTTGTTATATAAAGAGTTGATAAGACAAAGGATCGATAAGATAAAGGGTTGAAGGTGCAGTCGTGATAAGAAAAAGATAATTATTTACCGTCAAGTAGCTTTTATTTTCAATTACTTGAGGAAATATTACACATTAGTTATTTTCACATTATATAGAATTTATAAAGTTAATCCTATATTAGTGATTTAAAAGGATAGATATGTAAACTACGCATATTTACAACAAAACTGTAAGTCATTCTAAAAACGATGATAAGAAAAGTAAAATTATCAATGAATAAAATAAAATATATATTCTTTTAAATATAGAAATATTTGAGTTTTTAGATTATATAATATATATTTATCATTATATAATCATATTTATGAAAAAATAGTACAAATGTGATATTGTACTGGGATAAGGTTCATAATTATGAAAAAAGGCATCCCCTTATCGTGCAACTGAAAGTTGCTGATGTGATGATTGCTGATGGCGCAAGCCATCAGCAACTTTCAGTTGCACGATAAGGAGATGCCTTTTTTCATAATCATATTTATATTTATTCTGTATTTAACTATATATATTCTTATATGTACATTGTAATAAATCAGTTTCAATCTCAATCTATCTCTCTCTCTCCCTCTTGAGATAACCTGGATTCCTTGAGCGTATTAAAGTCGCAGATGACACAGAAATTAAGTCAAGAACAAAATTATAATTGATAAAATACAAGATAAGCCAAGAGAGAGAAGTTTACAGAGAGTAACAAAATATAAAAAATAAAAATTGATAATCTGTTAATAATAAATATTTTGCTAAATATTTATGAATTAATACTATTTTATTAATTATGATTTTTTATGATTATTAAGTTATTTTTCTATATATACACTGGTGTCCAAAAAATAAGAAACTTAACCAATATTGAAATTTCTCAAAAGCTAATTTATTAACAAATATAAAATTTAGTATACAAATAAGTTTAAACTATAAAGAATATGACTAGCTATATGAAATTAAAAAAAATATTTGAAATTATGAAATATGCAAATTATTACCAATATACCCAAAGCTAAGGTTCCAGATCTTAAAGAAATAAGATATCAATAGGGAGTATGATCACCTCTAACAGCTATCAAGCGTTGTATATTTTAAAACATATCATTAAAAAACAAAAGTTTCTTATTTTTTGGACACCAGTGTATGTAAAAAAGAGACACCTCTCTTTTTTAAAATACATTAATACAAAGCCTTATAATACATTATAAAGGACTGCGGCGTATGATTATAAACAATACTTAAAGTTTTACCGCATAAGTTTCTTTTCTATGAAAAATCAACATTTATTTCAAAGAGAAATATTTACTATTTCTAACTTTTTTTGAATGAAGTATGGAAGGGTGAAAATATGAAGAGTAATGGCGAACGGGAAAAATAAAAGTGTCCAGGGGCGGGAATCGAACCCACAACCTTCTGCTTACCGGGCAGGTGCCATGTCCACTAGCCTTATCACTCTGGTACAAAACGAAATGTCTCTTTTGATATATGCATACCATTCTATCGTAGCTTTATGTTGTCTTCTAGCTTGAAAATCGGCCTTAACAGTTCACCAGCTTTAACACATTTTTTTGGGCAAATTTGACCCATTCTCCATAAACCCTTCTCGTAGGATGTTATCAAATCGAAGCCGCCCCTGTACTGATGAGGGCCATAGTCAGAAACCATGGTATACAGGTTGTTGACTTTTTTTCTGAATTTTACCTAAATTGGTGTTGTGGTCATTCTTTAACACCACCATTATGTTCTGTACTGGTGTGATAAAGATAATACATTGTTTTTATGTATTTTAAAGGGAGAAGTATCTATTTTGGTACATGAATTATATAGCGAAGTACACCTATCCCCCGATTTGCACGGTAGATACGTTCCTGAGAAAAACGTCTAAATCGGGGGGATAGGTGTACACAGAAATAAAAATAAAATGCATTGATAGGTTAAAATATGTAGTCAGCACATCGGGATTCCTCGTGAGATGTGTACACAGAGCATGTGTTTAATCACAGTAGCATTTAGTATAGTGCGATAAAAACAAAAAAAAAACTTATTTGGAAAACCGTGGAAAAGCGAAAACGTGCAAAACAAGTACCGTGTAAATCGGGGGATAGGTGTATTTATTATTTTACACTAGTATTAACAGAGTATCATTTTTATATTTATATATTACTACTCTGTAAACTTCCCTCATTACTTATCTTTTGTTTATACCTTATAGTTTGTTCTTGCCTTAAATAAATTGCTGTCTCATTCTGAAGTTAGTCTTCCCTAATTTTCCACGTGACAATATCATAACTTTATGTTGTAGGTTGTGAGAAGTGTATGTTTTCAGATGGCCCCAGGTCGAGTATGTCCACGCGGCCCTACCCCGTCGGGATCCCTACACCCCGGTGAGTAGCCACCCTGTATTTACATATATACCATTTTATAACCCTGCCACACTCTCTGTAATAAACTCCCTCCATATTATTTATGAAAAAATACCTTCCATACTTTTATCTCTTTTCGTCTCTATATACATATTCTTTATATATGACTCTACTCTTTTCCTCATAATATCTTCCTCATAACATGTATAAAATGTATGCATATATCATTGACTAGCTGTCAATATATATTTTTTAAATTATCTCTCTATATTTTAAAAAGAAACTTTTCCCTGGAGGCTTAATGTTCTTATTTTAATATTATCTCTCTATTATTTAACACATTGAAGGACTCTAGCTGTTACTGTGATAAGGAAACCCAGGACTCGAGACACCTACTGCTGTAATTTCCACTCTTCTTTATTGCTAGACAACAGACAGCAAATGATGTTGTAGATCTATATCAATTTGTAAATACTAGAGAGAATTGTAACAGATTTAACTATTTTTGTAAATATATTTATGATTATCTTTCTAACCTGAGAGGTTCAGGTTCCAAATATATATTATTGTTTATTTTTGTTGTATAATATGTTTATCACAAAGCAATAACGCGCCATCTATACATATAAAATGAAAGGATTTAAAAGTACGAATGTTTCTTTTATACATAATACAAACTTCTACTGCCCTTACTGCGATGAAAAAATATATTGGGAGGGCTTGGCTCATCAGTGGAGAACCCTCCCAGCGGTTCAGTGCTGCGTATATAAGCAAAATCGTCCAATACAGTATTAGAGCTCTGAGAAGCGGTCTGGTGGATTAAATTGGCGAAACCGCTGGGAGGGTTCTCCTCTGATGAGCCAAGCCCTCCCAATATATTTTTTCATCGAAGTAAGGGCAGTAGAAGTTTGTATTATGTATAAAAGAAACTTTCGTGCTTTTAAATCCTTTCATTTTATAATATGATTATAACTGTTTCTGTTTAAAAATGTAAATCGACGCAATTATCCCTAGCCAAGATATCGCGTTTTGTGTGTTAAAATAAAATATAACATATGAGGAAATATACTTAGTTTTAAGACCTGTCAAAGGACTTAGTTCCTGGCCATAAATATAACTAAGCAGAATCCACTGAAGTCCCTTTAAAACGAATTATTGTGTTTGATTTCAAAACAATTTCGATCACCTAATAAATGGGGAATTATCTATTTTCCTCAAATAGTTTTAAAACATTGCTACACAAGGTAATCAGACCAAATCCAAATAAATTATCATTTTTGATGGTAACAATTCTGTTTCCATAATGTCACACTATTTATTTATTTAGATTTGGTCTTATTACCTTGTGTTTATAATCTATAATCCAAACTGTGCCTTATAAAACATTGCTACGTTGGATCTTGTTGAGAACATGGGACGCTGTGCAGGAGTCAGTATCCGAAGTTCTACTCCACAGAGGAGTGCCCCGGGTGTCCATCGTGCTGGCAGCCTTACACAAAGAAGTGAGTTCACGATTCAAGATTAAATTGTGAAAAACGTTTAAAAAATACAAAAATATTTTCTCACAATGAGTTTCTTTTCATTTTGAAACGCAAACTTTCAAGCCACAATCGCTCTTCAACGGGCTTACATAAAACAAAGACTATATCTTAAAAGAAGAAATTGTAACTTGAAGACAGTCTATATCTATATATACACATATTATATTTATAGCTGCTTGCGTTCGTTGCACGCGCGGTCGACCAGATCTTTCAAGGTCATTAATAGTGCCAGCCTTGTTGAACCTTTCAATAGCTCGATAAACAAATTGACGCGTAATATTCAAATTTTGTAAAAGTTTAAAAATGGATGAAGGACTTTGACCTACCTTGTGTAAGGCTCTTACAGCTATACGGTTTTCTTTAATACCCCAATCCATTATCAAAAAACAAATATATTCCGATTTTATTTCTAAACACGTGTGCACGGTATTTCGAATAATTCACGCGGTTCAATTAAATTTTTTATCACTGATTTGGGTTTGTAACAATATTTATGGCTAGACTAAGTATATCTATCTAAAGTCTAGACTATATAGTCACATAGACATAGTCTCTGTTTTAATTATTCCCGTTGAAGAGGGATTGTCGCTTAAAAGCTTGCGTTTTAAAATATAAAAAGAAACTCATTGTGATAAAATACTTTTTTAGGTTTTTAAAAGAAGTAAGAGTGTGTTCTTCCTTCAGCAAATCTTTCCTGTCTCACGATCAATGATTGTCCAGGGCTGCGACGACATCCTCGACTCTATCCTGGCCACAGTAAGTGCCTATAAGAAGTGAAGTTTATCCTCAAATCTCTTTAGTTTTGTTTAAAATCATCAAAATGAAAGAAGGCAAGTTTCTTTAATTATCTCGACGACGCAAGCTTTCGGGCAAAAGCCCTTCAACAGGCAAGATAAAACGACACTATCTTAGTGTCGTTTTATCTTGCCTGTTGAAGGGCTTTTGCCCGAAAGCTTGCGTCGTCGAAATAATTAAAGAAACTTGTCTTCTTTCATTTTGTTAATCGCTTCATATGTTGCTAAGAAGAATCTTCTATATCTAATTTTAAAATCATCAATTGTATAATATTTCTCTGAGAATGGATCTCTATATTTATTTATTGATCATTGGTATGTGTCAAAAATAGTACAAAGGTTGTATTGGAATCAGGTGGATAAATTAAGAAAAAGGAATCTCCTGATCTTGCAACTGAAAGTTACTGATTGCTTTCATCGTTTGTCGAAGTAAATATCAACTAAACGTTGTAAAGATAGAGGCTGCCTGGCCGGCATTCATATTTCTTGAAAATAAATATACTTCGGCCAGTAAATCTTTTTGTTAACTCGACGTTTCGACAAAAATCTTTTGTCCTCGTCAGGAGCAAATAAAAATTTAAACATTTAGCAAGGCGTTAAAAATCTTTCTATAATAAAGATTTTTAACGCCTTGCTAAATGTTTAATTTTTGTTTGCTCCTGACGAGGACAAAAGATTTTTGTCGAAACGTCGAGATAATAAAAAGATTTACTGGCCGAAGTATCTTTAATTTCAAGAAAACTAATCGTTGATATTTAATTATTCCAGAATTGGCCAAATACCCATTCTTGATTAATCAAGAAAAGCTAACCATGTACGCGTTTCGGGCTGTTGGCCCTCATCAGCGTGGTGCAAGCTGTACCTCAACGACCAAATAAGCTTGTCTTTGGGACATCCTGAAAATCATTAAACAGGTATTTAGGCAGAAAGGTTGTGTATGTTGTTGATTTGCATCCCTGTATATATGTAGCAACCTTTATTTACATGGTTGGGTCTGTGTAGTGTTAGTTGATAAAGAATTTAGGTCATAGGAAGGTGAGAGTTGTAAGTAATACTTTTGTGTTTATTATGTAGCGCAAATAGATTTCCCCATCCCATAGAATTTAAATACCTCATCAAGAGACTTATTTAGATCTTTTTAAAGACTGAAAACTTCTTCAAAAACATTATTCTTTCTTTTTTACCGAATTTAAACAATGTGGAATCTCTCTGTGAATTAGATGCATTTATATAAAAGTTATAAGCTGCGAAATGATTTTTTTGCGAGATTCAGACTCAAAACTTTCTAAAAATATTTTTTCAGCCATTTTTAAATTTACGTAATAAGAGATTTTTGATAGTTTAATAGCTTTAAAGAAAAAAAGGAAAGTGCGTTTATGACATGTTTTTACATCGCGAGTACATTATAGGTACCGCCAAACAAGCGTGAACAAATCTCTTGTATATTAAATCTAGTTATTAAGTATTCAATATATGTGTAATGTGTTCTTCATGTTCTAAGATATTTTTTATTCTGTTTCCAGAGCCGCTACATCGTAGCGAAGAACTTTGGCGGATTGGCCGTGTGGGCAGCGAACGGATCATGTCAGAACACCACCTTCAAATCAGCACAGGAAGCAACGAAGATATTTGCAGGACGACAGGACACAAACTCGACGACGGATACCCCAGAGATCCCTGAAAGTATTTCAACTAAAAAGGCAGAATGGAAAGAACCTGGTGATCTTCCTTGTACGGACAAAGATTTCTTCAGAATCCCAAAT